CGGCGCACTGACTGACTTGGGATCTGACGCTTGACGGCCGCATTCCCAACAGCCACCTGCCACCGTCACCTGTCACCACTGCCTCCAGTTACAGAGACGGCTCCGACAAAAGGAGCAGCGACGGTTCTGCCTCTGCAGAGGCGATGGCGCCCGGACTGGCAGAAGCACGGAAATACTCATTCCCGACCTGACAGGAGTCTAGGAGTGAGTGCGCGTGGTGGTTATAAAAGGCTCTCCACCCCCCCAAAGAAGAGGTATGCAAATTTTGCGCTATCTGGTTTATCTTGCCTTTGAAAGATCCTAACTTAAGCTTCGGAGCCTTTACACCGGTTCTCCCCGGAGCTTCTTCATCTCCTACATTTCAGGTCCCCACCACTCGATTCAGAGGCAAGGTCATTGACAGCTAAGACCGATCAGATTGCGCATCATCAGATACCAATATGGATCGATCGGAACCTGTTTTTCTATTGTATGTTTTAATTAATTGCTGCCTCATGTGTTTTTTCTTTCTTTTGGTACATCATGCGATCATCCATTTACATACAGTGTGATCACATTGCCCAACGTTTGCAACAGAGAGCGGAAGTAAGTGTAGAAAAAGATCAAAATTGTACTGTGTATTATTATTATTTACAAAGGCTAGCTAGCTAATTATAATTATATATATATATATATATATATATTATTGGATACACCGAACTAATTAATTAAAGATGTATGCATGATGGGCATCCATGCTTGGATCAAGATAGATTGCTAAAAGCCATGGAGTGGTATTTGTTGTTGCTGCCTTTGTCGTTGAGGAAGAGAATTAGAAGATGCAAAGCAGCGTCCGGTGGACATGGACGTGAGCAAACTATTCTCCAAATCTTTAGGTACGCGTCGACGACGAACCAATGATACAATGTAATCCATGAAGGTGGCATCGCATGGCACCGTGATGGGTCCTTCTCCTGGTAGTCCAAACTCCTCTTCCGATAGCCTCAACAGTTCTCTAATGATGTTGTTGTCCAGATACTTCAACGGAACCACAAACCGTTTCTTGTCCACGCTGTATACAACGAAGTGCCCTTTATCAGCAATTGTTCTGTCATCGAAACACTCCACGTGTGCTAGCTCTACCTCGCTTGACACTATTGTTCTCCTCCCGCTGGCAGCTGCCTTTTGCCATTTCTTTGCCATTGCAAGGAGCCTCTTGGGACTGATCATTGCTTAATTTCTAGCTAGATTGAGTAGGCAGGGAACTCTTCGGTTCCATAAATATATATATGACAAAAAGCAAAGAATTAATGATGATGAGATTTCATTAGGAGTTATCTAGCCAAATTGCTATATATAATATATATATATATATATATATATATATATATATATTGATTGGAAGTCTCTAAATAATACATATAGTTAAAACTTAGTAGACAAAGAGTAGACACCATACTTTAAGTAGTCACCGTCATTAGGTCGAATTGCGTGAGGTAAGGGGCAGCATCTTATGTGCTTATTGGACCATAGAGATAGAGATGGGTTTGGTGATGGGCAGACCATAATATATGTTTTTCCATGGAAATGAGAATCTGTTGGCTGATCAGATAAGATGTTTAGGGAAGAATTTCGAATACAAAAGCAAAACCACGGTTTATTGTTTGAGTAGTTTCCACGTCCTTCAGGTAGAATTATTGATGGGAAAATTTATGATGCGGAAAAGATATGGTATGGGAGCCAAAAGTGAGTAGTTCCAATTTACAGTGGATAAAGAATGGATAGAAAAAGTGAGTAGAAAATTCCGAATGCTATCCCAAATCCCTTGAAATTGATAGGCGCGCAATATATATTGCGTTAACTTCTGAAATAATACTCTCCTAAAATATAAAATAAGTGGTGGGTGGGAGCCAAAAGGGTTATAGTAATACGCTGCATTATATTAATGTTTGCCATGAATTGATTATATAAATTTTCTGTTCACTGATAGAATGTCCACATTGGGTTTGTTACGGAGCGACCAAAACCCAAGGGCTAGCTGAGGGTATTTTATATCAGAAAATTCACTGAATGGCATATTCCAGTGTGCTCACCTGGCGCCCACCTGATCTGATCAACTTCTAATTTATTATACTAGCCAATGCCATATATATATATATATATAAACAAATGTTTGAATGGTACTACAAAATCAACAGATGAGGTAGTTTATCCATAATCCAATATATAGGTGAGGACTGAGGAGCCCGGGTATCCTGAAAGCAAAAACTCTTGATCGACACATGCATGTGAGGAATACTCCCAACGACCGTGCATGTGTACAGAAAATTTTGTTTGAAGAAGATTATATTGACTTAAGAAACTTAAGAGGTAAATGACGAGAGCTGATAGATAGCGTCTCGCTTTGGATACATTGTATTTGCGTAATTTCCAATTTGTTATAATTAAATTAATAAAGCCCAGATTCACCCACTGATATTTTGCCAACATGACCAATTTGATATAGGTGGTCAATAAACAAATTCAACCTAAAAGTAAAAGTATTAAGGACCATGCATTGAAACTTGAAAGACGATCGAGTATAGCTAGCTATAGATCATAGTTCATAGATGTGGTTTATATATTAATTCATTAAGTATGTCATGATCATCAAGTTGGCTAGTTAATTAATGTGTTGCATGCTTCGCTGGCCTTTTATGTAATTAATTAATTGACCTATTTATACAACTAGCTGACATATCCAACTTGTTCCGAATCCCAGTCCACCTCCTCATGGAACATGGAACCACCAAATAATATTCATTGAATCTGGGAAGGCAGGAAGGAAAGAAGGACATCCCATGCATATGCATATATATTGCCCATTTGGTAATTGCATGGAACCCACCCCAGTCCCCAGTCCCCACCCACATTAAACCTGTTCCAACTTCCAAGGTCGTACTGAGATGTTCTTAACACGTACACGTACAGCAAATATCATTTCCCCCGGCCTCCTAAATACACCCATGCGTATATATTCCAGGATATATCTTTACATCAGCAATGTGATTCTTCTTCCTTCCTATTGCTGCAGCTTTTCCTCCACTTCCTTGCAATTTCCATGAGCCTCTTTGGAGTTAGCATGACTTTGTTATGTGAATTTTGGAGAGGAGAGACGATAAGGAAGAGATACGACTAAACTGTGGATCAATCTGAAGTATGGCTTTCGAATTGCGGTTGACCTAAACAGTTAGACTGTTCGGCTAGGAATCATTCAGGAAATCGGTTTTATTTTATCTTAAACTCAGTTTTTGGTCAAAAATTGTTGTAAAAGTTAATAATTCATTCATTCAGATGATCAAATTGTCGATCCGTCAATCCGTTCAACGATTTTTAACCTTTCTTATTTTTTAAAATTTTTTGTTAAAATGGGTGATGATGCGCGATCTAGAAGCTCCTAGTTGGAGGGTTGTTTGGACGTGTTTCACGTGGTGAGCTAGATCAATCTGCAAGACAGAGATCAGAGAGACTGGGGTGGAAGACCCGGGGAAGTCGCTCCAATGCTTAAGTCAGTAATATGTTGTCGTTGCGAGCTAAAGTTTTGGATGCTAAAGAGCTTAAATGTAAACAATCGTGCATACCTTTTCCCCTGTGTCATTGGGGTTGGTGCCTTTATATAGGCATTGTTTGGCGTGGGCTTCACGCACCGCATCCAAGATTTTCGGGAGAGTCGTACCTAACTGGTCCTAAATCCTCGAAAGTAACTGCCACACACGTTGATCATCTTCTGGAATACTCAGTACGTGGGCCAACTTCCAAGAAATTTGGGAGTGTTAGGATATGCATGTTGAATGTGTTGACGAGCACATCTTGCAGGTCGCCACCTAGACCTTAGTCAAGCCGGCAAGCCCTCAAGGGAGGTCACTCTTCACGCCAAGGTCACTTCAGCCAATGACGAGGTGTTACAGGTCGGCCCTGGACGAGGTGCTCCTAGCCGACCTAAGTTGTGGTCGAGGTCGCTAAGTCAAAGCGAAGATGAACCACGATCTGGGACTCCAAATCATCGCTTAAGTGGTGTCTATGTGCCATCCAACTGTTTTAGGATGCCATATGTCATGAGGTTATTAGAAGGCCAAATCCCCCCTCATCAATGGGCTATTCGTTCAGATCGGATGGTTAGACCGTCGACCTAAAAACCGGTGGCTAGAACAATTTCATTTCCGGATCGATTTTTAAAACGTTGATCTGAAGTTTCTATGAAAATTCTTGTGTAATGTTGTATAGAAAGCAATGGAACTCAATAGACCCTATTGTTAGGGCTGCCCTAGATTCAAGCCCATGTGGTGATTGGACTAGTGGGAGGTCTGGGGGTGGTGGGTATATATGTTTGGTTGATCTTCGGCAACCTTCTCATCAAGGTCAGTCATAGGTATTGTTATCAGTGGGCTTGTTTTCCTTCTGTTAGGCTGAACAACAACACCTGGGTCCCGACAAAAAGAAGAAGAAATAACCCTCTTTCTATAATTTTTATGTTAGTTTGGATACATTGTACCAATCAAAATAATCCTATTTCAGCGAGAACACTTATCTTTGACGGGATTTAAATTAAAATTTACCGACAAGCGACGAGCGACGAGAGGTTGTTATAAGTAATTTGCACCAGAAACGGCACCAATTCACCACGGATTTAAGTCATCATCTCAACCTTACCGGATTATAAGACATGTCTTTGGCCAATACAAATACGCTTTATGGTTTATACATCAAAATTTTGCCGGCCCATATTTATTATCTTTCTTTGTTTACTGAATGAAACAATGGAGAGAATACTTCAATGGAAAAGGTTTTGGTAAGATAAAACACCGAAATTTTCATATTTATCATATTTCTTACATCGTATAAATTGTATTTGCACCGGTCTGCTTAAATGTATGGGAGTGCAAATTCTGATTTAATTTTGCTTCAGATCTGGCTTTGTCTAATTTGTTTTGTGAAAAACAAAATAATAAGTAAAATGGTGATCTCACCTTATATGCAAGAGTATAGAGGTAGGAAGCAAGATGATGTGATTTTCATTTTATATGAGATAATGATTGAAGTAGGAGTAAAGTGGTGCAAATTTTGCATCAGTTCTTGAGATGTAAAATTTATAGTATCAATGACTCAGTCAGTGCAAATGAGACAAAAAAGTACAAATTTCCTATTAGGCAGGACCGTAGGAGTGCAAATCATAGTTACAAATAAACAACTGCATAACAGAGCAGGGTGCAAAATTTATTTTTGGTTCAAATTTGCAGTTTGACCAAAAGCAGCCTAAGGAAAATTTGCCAATTTGGCTATATAAGTTTTAGGGTAAATAGGTATCCTGTACTTTGGGATAGTGGCATATAGGTATCTTCAACTTTCAATTGCAACACTTAAATACCCTGAATTCTCAAAAATAGACACATGAGGTCCATCCGTTAGTATTACATAATGTCTAAAATACCCTTCTCATATATTTTTTAGATTATTCTGCGGAGTAAAATCATCACAAAATGTCATTGTTGAAAATTTTAAATATTTTATTTGCTGTTCATGTAAAAACGTCATCATAGGGAGACATTCGATTACTGGAGGATGGTCTAAAAAATACATGAAAAAGGTATTTTTGACATTCTGTAATGTTTAACTAATAGAATACTAATGGATGGACCTAAATGTCTATTTTTGAGAATTCAGGATATTTAAATGTTGCAATTGAAAGTTCAACTGTCACTATCCCAAATTATAGGGTACCTATCTATAATACCATAAATTTTACTGTTGGAGATGTTTTAGAAAAATGTAATCAACTATATTTGCATTCTCACTTAGCAGTGGACCAGTGGCCTTTATTTTTTCTTCAATTTAACACCTAAAACTTTTCTCTTTATATGAAAGCAAATAAATGAGAATTTTGACCCGCAAAGTTAGACAAGGAAAATTAATGTGGATATACACTAGGTTTTGATGTGCGATTATTAAATTAGGGGTTGTCAATTAAGGAATGGTTTGGTGGCTGTGTAATGGAGGCAATTTGATACTAACATACATGTAATGATGTAAACAGATATATATATATATATTGATCTTTTCATTTTTCATTTGTTTTCATTTTCAAAACTTGAAGTCATATAAAAATTTTGTATTTGGATCAAAATTGTTAACATCATCATGTACAGGTACAGGGGATAAATTAAACGATTTGTATTTTGCTCAACAGCCTTGGAAAACTGTGGGTTGGTGGGTCTGTGTTAGTAGTGGGCAAGAAGATGGTAAGCTGCGAGCATTTGCTATGAAATGGAGCAGATCCTTGTGTATGTCTCTTAGCTAGTTGTTGCATGAGGTTAATTGACTCTTATGACATGCTTAGGGACAGTTAATAGTGCTTTATTGGAGAGGGGGAAATTTTAAGGGGGCGTTCTTTTTTTAGATTTGGAGAGGGGGAAAGTTGGTCAATGGGATCCAAAATCCCATTGACCAAGAATCTCATGTTTATTTTTCGGATTAATATGGTGACCATGGAAACACTTATCCAGGAAAGTGATACCCATCTCTTAGGTGGGTAAATAACTTTCCCACATAGGAGGAAAGTTGCCAACACTTGAATGGGACAAAAATGCCCCTTTTAATAATGGATTTCTATGTCTAAAATGGTCATTGCCTTATTTGCCTGAGAAAAAAAAGAACATGGGTAAATGTATTTACCTGTGTAAGTGTTTTCCCAGGAAAAACTTACCCAGGTAATTGCATTTACCCAGGTAAGTAACGAATGGGGCCTAAGAGTAATAATACAATTTGGAAAAATTACCATTCTATGAAGATTTTGAGTGCAAATAGGCTTAAGACAGACGAATTATATAGAAGCTAGTTTTCATGTCTCCATCCAAAACAGAATATAGAGAACTATAGGAGCTCCTTTCCGCTTTTCTTTTCTTTTCTTTTCTATGTTTTCTTGAAAGGGTTCTTTGAAACTTGAAAGTATAGCTTCCTTTTTAATTAATTTAACTACATATTTGGAGGCTCAAGATGTTTTAGGAATTAGAGTTATCTAACTACATATTTGGAGTCAATGGATTGGGTTTGGGTCGAACCCATATGAATCAAAGTCAATTTGAATGGGTTGGATAGTCCAATAAAACATTTTGAATTGGACCAGTCCAGGTTTAATGGTTTAAAGAATTTATTGGATTGGACCTGATCCATCTGTAATGGATTTATATTGGGACGGGACAGGTTGAATAAATATCCAGTCCATTAATAGAAGAAAGGAGTGAGGTGTCAATAGACTGGGTTTGAGTTGGATCCATTTTTAATTAAAAGTTAAAATCAATTTGAAATAAGTTGGATGGTCCAAAATATTTATTGGACTGGATTGAATCTGATCTATGTGTGATAGATTCATATTGGACCGGATTGGGTTGGACCAATATCTGGTCCATTGACAGCTCTACTATTAGAGAAGGTAAAAAATTAGAAGCACTTAATCTTATTGCTAATGGCCTAATAGCTGAGATGGTCACTCGACATCACTCTTATCATGGAAGCATGGGATCAAACCTGCGTAGCTGAGGCTCTCCATGGCAAGATTGGTGGACTTCTGTCCCCCATCCCTTGATCCCCCGTAATGTAATTCGTAATACTGAAAAAAGAAAAAAAAAATCTTATTGCATGGAATTTTCAAATTAGCAAAAACAAGAAAAATTTCCTATCCTCACTGCTAGAAAAAAACAGTAGTATAGAAGAAATAAGAAATGGGCCTAACTAATTAAGTAGGAAGGCAGTGACGTAGTCTGTAAACTTAACGGGCCTCGAGCTCAGGTCCAATTGGCTAAAATTTGAATACAGGATTCGGAAGCTCAAAGCACACTGACTTGGAGCCATGCGCAACCTTATCCATAAGCTTAAAGTTAAAAAGCTATTTAAGGTACAGGCAGCGTCCAACCCAAACCATTTGATTATCCAAGAAGCAATTGAACCTAAGAAGCTGTAGTTGCCAGAAAAATGAGGGTCACACACAGACGAGACTAGTTAATAGTGATTGCCTACCCCGCATGGTTTCGGCTACACAAACAATCTCTATCAATTGCCGAAGGCCCAAATCATCCAACTGTGCAAATGGTGATTTTCTCTCTTTGATTAGTTGATATTCTTCATTTTAGCATTAATAACAATGTTGTTCTTTGCTTTCTTTTCCTAGATGCATTAATTCTCGTCTGGAGGTGTGCTATGTTGGTAGGTATTCGGTACTATCACTATGTTTCAAGCTCAAACATTTCAGCTTGACTGAACTGATCATAGCATTTGAAGTACATCCGGAACGGTGAAAATGGAACATTTTAGTACAAAACAAACTCCAGAGAATATCTCGTTATAATTTTAAACATGTAGGCATCGAATGGAACAAATGAAGTGGGAAGACATTCTGAAGGTCCAATCCAATCCAATGAATACTTTGGACCATTTTGGATCAGTCCAATTCAATGTCTGGACCGTTCAATCTGTTCAAATTGGTTTTAATTAAAATTTGTTCTAATCCAAGCCTGACCCATTGACAGTTGTATTCTTATTTTCTATTAATAGACCACATATTGATTTAGTTCAATATGATCAATCCAATATAAATCTATTAGGGATGGACCAGGTCCAAATCCACTCCAATAAATACTTTAGACCAATAACTCTAGATTAGTTCGTCCAATCCATCTAAATTGATTTTGATTTGAACAGCATACCAAAACAGGTCCAGTGACCGCCCTACTTCAGATATGAGAAACCACAATTTTGGCATTTTTTTCTACCACCACCAATGCATGAAAATGAAACCCATCTCAGAATGTGGTGCTCCTGCTTCAAATTGAATATGCTCAACGAAATACTTTGTTTTTGTTTTTTTTGAGCATTAAAGTCAAATTACCATAAAGTGCTTACATGAAGACAAAAATAATTAAAACTCAACCTACAGATAAGAAACCTCGCTCTTATGCTAATTTTGTAATATTGCGATTTAGATGCAAGGTTCAAATGTTAATTGATTTCATATACCATCATTAATCAAATTGATCTGATTGAAATCCCTCTTTCTTTTCTTCCATTTTACATATCTACAAAGTAGTCGCTAGTCACTGGTAATCAATAATTTTAGTTTAGTGAAGAAGGAGAAGTTTTGTTTTTCTCTTTTTTCATTCATGGGCTATACAACAACTAGGAGGGGGATAGTCTATCGCCAATCGCCATGAACCCAAGGATTTCCAACTCACTTTCTCTACCCATGCGTTATCCACAGTAAACTGTAGCGGCACATCCCACAATACAACATGACAATAATGTGTGGCTGCAATTCAAGACAAGACAGATAGAGAGTTGCGAGCAGGAAATTAAATCCAGATTGCATCCCCATACTGATATATTTAGGGAGGTGCAACTTGGACTGGGTTGAGTTTTCTGAAACTTGTCAAATTATCAAGAGGTCTAAATCCTAACTTTAGCATGATGTAGTTGAAATTCTTCAAATTGTACACTAACCCAATGTGCAGCCCTAACCAATAATCCTCCACCCCTGGCTTGTGGTGATCCCGAGTCTCCACTACAATTAGTCAGAAAAAATTACCAACCGAGCCACCACCGGTTGGTAGTTTAGTAAGGATCCTTGTGTTTTCTGGTTGGGAAACGTAGGCGGTTGTGTATTATGCAAGGAAATATACGTTTGATAGTAGTATATTTTATTTGGATCTGATATCAAGATGATTGCTGCTTGGCCCGCTAGCTACAACGATTCAGCTTTGCAAAAGTTAATTAAGAAAAGGGGAGTGATTTGGGCACATCGATCTCTCTCTCTCTCTCTCTCTCTCTTTTTCTTTTGATACACAGGACAGGAACACACCCACCACTAATATTCAATCACAAGCTGTCTCAAGGGACGACAAACACTCTTAATGCATTGGTTACCAAAAACATGGGAGAGAAAAATCTTTTCAATTGTCCTGGACCATGGTATTAGGTTTAGAAGATCTAATCGTGCGTATTAGGTCTAACCCATTGTTTTACGGGCCGGCCACCATGTCGATCTCTTTTTTGCTCGAATTATGATAAATTGATATAATAATCAGATTTCATGCTCCTATGTCCTATCCTATATATATTCTTTTATGGATCTCAAATTTTGTAGCAGTGAGCTAGTATTACACCTAATTAAGGCACATAACAAAGCTAAAGCTCAGTGACATCTGATTATTAATTTATTATGGTTAGTTTGATGTGCATTCATATTACTTCTTTCTTCTGATTAAAGTAATGCCGATCGAGAAAGAAACTTATATACTTGTAACTGATTTACCTAATCTTAGAAACGTAGGAAATCGCTAGCTTATATTGATAAGCAAAAGAAAATATTAAAAATCTGTGTCACATGTTCAAGCTAGTACAAGCTTAGCTAGCTTAGGTTCAAATGCCTATTGATTGCACTCGGATTGCAATCCTTCTTTTTTATTTCAATTTTTTTCCCCAAATATTGTCAATTAATTTACTCAGGCCGATGTTACACCATGCCTCCATAGAAATTATAAATAGAACTGAGAAAAGGATTTTCCTAATAAGCATTAATAGCTTTGCGAATTGGTTAGTGCTAGCTCGATCTTCATTCTTCAGAGAAATTAAATAGACTACAATCATGGACTGTCTGACCTAGCTAGCTAGAACAAGTCCCCACCTTGGAACATTGAATATATACCTTATTAAGGATTGTTTCAAATCAAACTTGACGCTGGGTTATTCGAGATTTTTAAGTATTATTCTAAGAAGAAGAGGAAGAGTAGGGAATTGTGCTCATATGTTTTCATCGGGTTGTACTAATTAAGATGTATAAGATAACGTCGAAAAATAGTGGGGAATTCAATGAGTTAAACGCAACAAATTAAAAGACAGTTGATCCAGTTAGAGAAGCTAGCTACGAACTGCAGCCAAAATACTTACTTATATCAAACTAGCTAAAAGACTACGACCCAGACAAAGAAAACGAAAATACTGATTCTTTCTTTCCATGCTCAGAGAATTGGGACTAACTAGCTAGTACTGTACAAGTCAAAAATCTTGGGATAGACGTGCATATATAATTTTCTTACTAAAAGCAACGAAGTTGTTGTTGATAGGTCTGTCCTAGAGGATGAGAAGAGAAGGCTGAGAAGCGTCCAGCATCCATAGAGATGAGCAAAGCTTTCTCCAAATCTTTGGATGCATGTCCTTGAACCAGCGAGACAACATACTCCATGAAGGCAGCATCACAAGGCAATGTGATAGGTCCGTTTCTTGGTAATCCAAACTCCTCTTCCGACATTCTGAAGAGCTCTCTGAATATATTGCTGTTTAGATATGTCAAGGGAATAACAAATCGTCTTTTATCGGCAGTGTACACGACGAAATGACCCTTAGCAGCTAGCAGCAACTCACCGGTTTTTTCTACACCAGAACCTTTGTCTGTTCTCGGCGGCAGTGAGATTCTCTTCCTCCCAACAGAAGCCACCTTTCGCCATTTCTTTGTCATCTCCACGACCCTCTTGGAATTGATCATCATAGCTCCAGACTTTGAACTTAACAAGATGGTGTGAAACTGCAACTACCCTTGGATCTTAGGTTGCTATAAACTAATGCACGTTTGTGTTGTTTATATATTAGGGCAAACCTCCAGCCCTCCCCCGCCCAGGAAGATTCTTTGGGATGCAAGACCACGTGGCTATTGGACTAATGGTAGGGTCTAGGAGGTGGGCATGCCTGGTTATGGTTGGACATTCACTCCATCAAGGTGGGTCATGTTTATACCAGGCAATGCAACAAGACGTTGCATGTGGCCGGACTACTTAAATTAATAAAATTAACAACAGGGTCAGCTATCAAACAGTATAAACAAGAAGAAAAATCAATGTATTTTCTTTTTTCTATTTATTTAAACCAATAAGGCAAAATATATAATTCTAACCTCAATTTACAGCTTCGACAAGAGTTGTGAATAAACAAGCAAGATATTTTGGTTTAAACTTCTTAATTCGAAGTACCAGAGAGCAGTGCACATATTTTACGGTATGGCCATCATGCTTACGAGCGTTATGGGCTAGATGCATGTAGAAGATATCTTCCTACACCGTCATGGGCCCTCATACACAGATGTTTTGCCGACCTACATGTATCAATTGTATACATATATCACTGATTTTTTTTCTTTAATTATATATATATATATATATATATATATATATATATTTGATTCATCAAAGTTTTCTTCTTTCAGCTTTGTGCCTTTGTCAACCATATATAATGTCATGAGAGGAGGAAGGCATATAGCCTTGCTGCCCCGTAAAAACATGAAATAGAAAAAGAAAAGCTAGTTAGGTGGTCTTTGAACTTTGAACCAGACTCACGTATGGGCACGCTGCATGGCCTGGGTCGAGAAAAATAAAACGCAGACAAGGACTCAAATTAAGGAATTAAGACCGAGCATTGTGTAGCCTATCACATGAGTGCTAGACTCAATATACAATGTTAGGGTCAAAGCAAAGACACAAAACTCGGCATAGATCAAGCTCAAAGATTTGCTCAGTTACATAATTAATTTGTTCCCGGTGCAAGAATATTCTTGGCTTAGTAACTTGGAAAGAGTATAAATAAATTTGATCTCGGTCCCTTCAAGCATGTATGAGCCATCTATGTTAGCTTATAATGAGGGTAATGAGCTTCGAACAATAGATCATTTGATCAAAATGGCTCCGATACTATCTTAAAGAACCATTCAACCTAAAAGCTTAAGCTGTTAGATAAAGTTCTTGAATAGATTGATATTCTCTAACAACAAATACAGGGTAACAGAGTAATAACACCAATAAATAAATTGTTTGATCTGCTGGTTAATAAAAGATTAAGGGTCCATTTGGTTTGTAGGAATAGGGGTCTGGAATTAGAATTGGAATTGGAATTTCCAACTGTTTGGTTGGGCGGAATTGAAATCTCATTCTCATTCCTACTGGAATGGCATTCCCCTATTTAAGGGAATGACCATTCCTGCCCCTTCCTTGAGAATGAAATCTCATTCCTGCTGATTTTAATTCTCATTTTCATTCCTGTCTGAATCAAACAGACTTTAGAAATTGACCATTCCGATTCCAATTCTAATTCTAATTCCGACTACAAACCAAACGGACCTTAATTCTTGCAAAGAAAACATCTGATTCTTTTTTATATTAAACTGGGTTTAATTAGAGCCATTCATCTGGAGTGAATATCTTACAAGCAACTTTAAGTAGTCATCAACTTAACATGCGTAAAGAAAACTAATGAAGCGAGCTGTTCTTTCTGCATCATAATTCTTTGCAAGAAATTGGTTCCCAAGCGTTCAGATATCCTAATCATTAGCACAACTATATATTAAAAAAAAAAATAACGTAAACAAGGAGATAAAGAAGGTATGGCGTGGAGATGTTAAAGAGAAATATCAACAGAAAAATATCTATCAGACGGTACAGATACATAGGATCTTTTGAGAATCGATCCTAATGCAGAGCATACATGACATGTTTCCAGAATTTGAGGTTATGGCTGGACATTTTTGTTTCTGTTCGATCCCCAAAGATTTTGTGCTAACTTTAAGGATGTGAACGTTTCTTGTGTGTGCGTTGTCCCCAATATTTTATGCGTTTTAATTTAGGGAGAATGGCTCGATTCAGCCCAGGGTCAGAATTTGTGGGTCCAAAGTACTATTAGGATATATAGAATTGATGCTAATTTATGGGCAGGCATTAGTGCATAAAGTATGAATTATTAATATTTTAAATATTTATAGCTTTATAATGAAAATCAGAAATCTGCATTAAGCTTGTCATACTTGTCCGTTTAATGAATTTAAAGGATGAAATTGATAGACAAGTCCTCCAAGCACATATGGGGGTGGGACCGTGGGGGTTCAGGAACCTTCCATGCGTATCACAGATTAGATGGATGGCAGCAGACAAAGAACCTGAAGGGGCTCCACCCATTCCTTTCTCTGTCCAGTACGTCTACACACCATTCAGGACTCAGGAGCATAAGTTTTAGAGGCTAAAATTAATCCTGGCCAGTCGCGGCCAGGGAAACTGTGATTGCATTTGATCACCTCTAACTCGTGGAAACATACAACTTTTTTCCTAAAAAATATCTTCCAGTATATCAACTCCAAAGGTCGACGGCCCGTGCCTAAACGGTTAGGACACAACTTTGGGACGAAGTACAAACAATTTCAGCAAGTTCACATGTAGCCCATCCCCTCCTCTCCCTTGGAAGAGGAAAAAAAATATCTATACAGTTTCAGAGTTTCAGTGTGACGTACTCCACGTCTATCTCAACATTATTCGAGCTCCAATCTTCATCGATCATTGCGATTAATGGACTCCAAGGCCAAAAATAGCCAGAAATTGAATTCGATTAGATCCAACGTGATGAATATTAGCTAACTAGAACTTTTAGCATTCACATTTAAAAAAGCAAGGAAAGGGAACAACTTGTATCTCTCTTTTTCCTTTTAAACAAAAAAGGTGTTGTCGCCTCTTCAAATCACAAGACGCTCGACTTCCTCCACACATACATAACCAATCCCACCCTTATGACCATCTTTTCTGAGTCCCTCGGCCTCACTATAAAAAACCCATCTACCAAAAACGCAATAATATATAATTCATCAATCCACATCCACCACCAAACCTTCAATTCTAGCCCTTCGACCTACCCCAAACAAACGATCGAGTAATATAGATCTTATTAGCCTAGTATCTAGGATGATGATGAGGAGGAGCTCCAACAAGTTTAGTGAGATAGTAGAGAAATGGAGGAAGAGAAGGAAGGGTCATTTTGCCGTTTATGCCAAAGAAGGAAAGAGGAGGTTTGTTGTGCCTCTTTACTATTTGAAGCATCCCATCTTCAGAGTGCTCTTGGAGATGGCGGAAGAGGAGTTCGGTTCCACCGTTCGTGGTCCTCTAAAAGTTCCTTGTGAAGAAGAACTAGTTGACTACATTCTTTCCTTGCTAAGGAAGATTAATCCTCCCGTGGATGAAGAAGATAGAGCCTTCGTCTCTACTTCCATTATTTGTAGGGGATCTTCTTCTATTTCTCTTTTTCCCCTCTTCCACTCGCACAATCATCAGGGTGGACAGAGAACCATTCATGTTGTGTAAGGAGATGAATTATATATTCAGTTTCTGCATCTTTGTCGGTCTTTGCTTACCGTGTTTTTTAAAGCTTGCCAAGCCCACGCATTGTTAGTGGAAATTTTAGTGTGATTTTTTGCAGAAAATATTTCAGTGATTCAGTTTGAAGAGGATATTTGGAAAATAAATATTTTTGTTAAAAGTAACTGCGTAGGTATTTTAGACATTTTCGTGCATTTTTTTACAAGATCCGATCCGAGGGGGTCTACTTGCAAGTTGCATTGTTTTGAAGCCGGACTGGACGGAACAATCAAACTGTTTGACTTAGAAAATGGTCATATCTTCAAGTCCATTTTTCAAGTGGACCACCTTTTTAGAAAAAAAAAATGTTGAATTAGTTAAAAAACCACTGACTTGGGTGATCGAACCGTTAAATCATTTGATTCGGGCAACGGTTCACGGTTTAATAAAAGGTTTGTTATTTAATTTTTTAAGAGCATTTATAGAGAGAAAATCAAGAGATGGGGGAAGGGTTGAAATGAGATCTTAGATATGAAATAATGACTCGGAGAGAGAGAGAGAATGCAAGATTTGAGATCTGGTTTGTGGCTGTCGCAACCGTTATCATCATCATCATCATCATCTGTGAACTACCTCCTCCGCCTTCCTCCTTTCTTCTTTCTTTCCTATCCTTTTCTTTCCTTTCCTGCCAATAGCCACCTATTCCATTCTTTTCCATTAAAAAAGAAATGGGTAAAATACAAAAACCTTTCCTAAAAATTTTGACAATCATAAAAACGTCCCCTGTAGTTTTACTTTGGCAAAAACCTCCCTTAAAATCTTAAAAATTTCAACGAAAACCTCCCTTTCGTCACTAATTCAGGCAGTAAATAGATAAAGTTACAAAATTGCCTGTGATTAATCGTCAAGGCATCATTAAAAATATTTTAAAATGCCAAAATTACCCTTGTTTGACTAATCTATCTTTTTACACTTTGTTACAGTTCTTTTTCAAAGCAAAAAAAAAAAACCCTAAGACCACTTACAGCGATGTCATTGCTCATAATATTCCATTTGCCAAAGAATATCTTTCATTTTCTAGCAATTGTTCTTCATTGATGGTTGGTTTTATTTGGTGAAATTTCTTTTGTGGGAACAAATTGTGGGTACATCCAAAGTACTAAAACAATGTAATGTGTCCAAATCCCAATACAATGACAACAACTCTCTGTGCTAAGCAGGCCAATCGGGTTTTGAGGAAGTTTAGAACAAAGACTGACAGTCCAATAACACCGCCCAAGCCACTATAAGCAACGCTAAAGCAATTCTCATGACTCTCAGCAACAAGGTGATCGCAATCCACCACAAGAAGAGAATCAGTGAAGAATCAGAAACCGGTGTTTGAGAGAAGGACAAAGGATTCAAAGATGGTGGGTTGTGGTAGAAGACAATCTTGATGGGGAATAAGTGTCAACCACCGGATTTCTCTGGTGTTATCTATTATGACAATAACGGGAAGCTACTTAACAAGATTCCACTGAGGTCTTTGCGTTAAAGTCTTTTGCCAAGCTTTTCTTTTCCATCGACAATCTTTTTTCAATGACAACAACTCTTTGCACCAAGCAGGCTAGCCAGGTTTCGAGGAAGTTCAAAATGGAGACTAACAATCCATGAACACCGCTCAAGACGCCGTTAGCAACGCCGAAGCAGCTTCTCATGACTCTCAACAAGGTGATTGTCTTCCCCACAATAAGAGAATCAATGAAGAATTCAAAATCGATGTTGAAAAGGATGAAGGATTCAGAGATGGTGGGCTATAGCAGAAGACGATCTTGATGGGGGAGAAGTGTCAACCAACCGGATTTTTCTGGTGTCATCTATCACGACAATAACAAGAAGTTGCTTAACGAGATTTCGCTTTTCTATGTTCAAGTTTGTTGTCGAGCTTTGCTTTTCTAGCGACTAAGGGTGCTACTTACTAGTCAGGGGTCTAGTTCCCGAGTCGAATGGTCTGACCGTTTGAATTGAATGGACGGTCCGTTCTAACAAAAAAAAACAAATAAAATAAAAAGCCAAAACCATTGGGTGGTTTGAACGGTTCGATCGCCTGGATCAGCGATTTGCTGACCAAATCAACAGTTCTTGGCGAAATAACGATTTTAGGGTAAAATGGAACCAATCACCTAACCGATTCTCGATTTTTCCAGTCCAGTTTTAAAAACATAAGAGAGGAAGACTTTCAATTCAAACATATATAATTTTAATTTCTGTTGAATTTTCTTCATGTACTAAATAACTTTTATGTTTTGAGTGTAGTTAAATACTTAAACAATTTAAGTATAATTTTAATTTTAGCTCCGGTTTTGGTTTTTCCTTTACAACTGCTTTAGTTAAATACTAAAACAATTTAACTGTAACAAAGCATAAAAAAGAGATTAATCAAATAAGGGTAATTCTGGCATTTTAAAATATTTTTAATGATGCCTTTGTCAATTAATTAGGGGCAATTTTGTAACTTTATGTGTTTACCGTCCGAAATATTGACGAAAGGGAGGTTTTTATTGAATTCTTTAAAAGTTAAAAGGGAGGCTTTTGCTAAAGTAAAAAACTAAAGGAGAGGTTTTTATGATTGCCACAGACTTTAGGGTTTTTATATTTTACCCAAAAAGAAAAGAGAGATCATCCTCTCTTATTCGACAAGATAGTCAAACCGTTGACCCAGAAATCGGTGGTCAAAGCAATTTCGTTTCTGGGTTAGCTTTTAAAACCTTGGTCGATTGAACCAAGTTGATATGTTAAAGAATATATATTATGTAAAAAGGCTTTTCTTTAACCCAAACAGCATTCTCATTAACCCAAACGAATTGGTCGAAGAGGAAGCTGACCAAATTGGCAGGTTAGACAGGTTGGCCGAGGGGGTGTGGTATCTAAAAGACTTTTCAGGGGTCCTTAGGTTGTAGGGACTGCA